AGAGAGACAATAAATTTATAACTTAATAAAGAATTAAAAGTGAAAGGGCTGAATGCAAGTAATGTATCAGCTAATTAAAACAGACATAGCTTGAGGTTGGGTAGGGCATGATACGCCCTAGGCTGGACAGGGAGACTCTCTACAGTAATGTGAGATCTTAGAATATAATGCACAAGGCAAGACTGAGTATCCATACTCAGAACATGTGGGGTAGAATGCTGAATTTCAATTCCTGTGCATTGAGTCTCTCCATAATTTAGGTACATAAGCCAACATCCATTTAGAATAACTCATCATTTTGAAGGTTGGGGATTTGGACGCAGCCAGTTATACTTGTTGTGCAGCTCTTCATGGTGCTGACTAAATGATTTAGTGGAAACTACTGAGGAGCAGGGCCAGTCTGGGGGGTTTAAATGGATTCACTCCTCCTATTTGGTGGCGTGGTACAGACCATCTGGAAGGCTGACTACAGTAGGTTCGTTTCTCCATTTTGTTTTAGATCATCTCCATGTCGCCCCATTGCCAGACAGAAGGTGACAGCTGTTGTGAAGGCTGCTTCTGGAATTGGCAGAACGTAATTTCTAATGGGCTTCTTAGGTGAAATCAGTCATAAGTCAGTTCAGATTCAGCAGGAAGATATAGACGTATCTCAGTGAAAGGCATAGTAAAGACAGCTCTGCCGTGTAATCAACCATATATGGGCACTATATTCATCTTCATTTGTAAATTGAAATGAACCCAAAAGAAAAAAAGAAAGTTTTCTGAGGATACAATGTTACATAAGAGTTGAATGTTGACCCAGGGTGTGATTTTTTTTAATGATAAAAACCTGCATTGGAGGAAGAAATTTCAGTTGCAAAAGACATAGAGATGAAACTTCACTTGTATTGAGCTAGAGATGGTTACAAAGCTGTCTAGAATTCCATATTCGTTGTCCTTATTTTCTTAATTGAATCTAGTGGTGGTTTTGTTTCATAAGTGAACAAGTAAAAATAATGCACTCTTAGCTTCCATTGATTTAAGCATGGCCATATGACATTGTCCGGGATGATGGGCTGAAGCAGAAGTCACTCAAATTTTGCAGGTGAACTGATTTAGCAACTGTGAACCTCTTTACTATTTTTCTTTTTGCTTTCTTCTGACTGAAACATGGTTAGAGTTCCAAAAAGCATCTTGCACAGAAGAAAACTAAGGCTGCTGTTGGGGGAAAGAGGAACAGGAATTTAGAAAAAAAAAAAAATCCTCGCTATCTGACAATATCTGGAGTCAAGACAGAAACCAACTGTAGACTGCCTTACATTTGACGTCCTATTAACTGGCAATGAAATGAACTGATTTTGTCATAGCCACTGTTACGTTTACATACAACATGTAGTAAAGTGTAAATCATATCTCAAAGATAATTTAGGATTTTGTGCTGTCCAGACTCAGATGGAGAAAAAAAGGAAGATAATGCTTTTATTTAAGCCAAGGCTGAAAGCTCTAATAGCAGGACAATGATATAAATTATTGACAGCTGATGACTTTAAGAGCTGGGGGATTTTCTTGTGGATCCTTTGTCCTACAGAGAAGTTAGTGAATAAATTTGTGTTTTCTCCCATCTGGGCCTTTCAGCCTGAGCACCAACTCATTGAATATCAATGAAAAAATATTAAAAAGACCAAACAAGGAAGCATCAGTTCAGGTCTAAAGCAGAAGCGTTAGCAAAGGAGTTCTGCAGGCTGCTGAGGAGAGAGTGCTTTCTTTAAGGGAGTGTGGACCTGAGTTTGTCTGCAGGGGGAGGTTTTGGGCTGGGGCAACCTCCCAGTGGCCAGAGCACATGGTACAGTGGTGACTGTTCTAAAAGCCATGCAGTCAGTCAGCCCTCATTCAGACACTGTCGTCAATGCTTTGTGCAACGCACAATGCATGATGCAGAGGCCAGTCATCATCAATTAATATTTTCCTGAATCAAGTTCATGGTATGATTTGAAGCCTGCTGAATAACTACTAGTTCCAACACACTTCTTATATTGAAATTCCAGAAATATGCTGCTTCTCGTGGTCTGGCTTTCAAAGACGCATTTAAAAATACACATAAGCCATCTTAAAGAAAAGCACAGTAAGCAATCACCAGACATTATGACCTCTTTAGATTGCCAGGAAGTTAACATTTCCTTTCATCAGGGAAAAAAATGAAATTGGCTCTCTGGAATAGGCAAACTTTGCAGAAGAGAGTTAATAAGTGCTGGGGAAAAGTTTTTTATGAGATTCTGAGAAAAACACTTAGAATATAATTTAAAGGCCCAGCCACTGAACACGTTCATTCAATGACCGATACTGAATCTATTTGTCAACTCAAGATCCTCTGTCTGGGGTCGGATAGCATCATTTACTTTGATATGTTCCATGGCTTTTCCAAGCCTTAATGCCTTGCGTCTGGGGCCCTTAATGAACTGGTTCCTATCGTCCAAATTTGGTTTAATGGGATTGTCATATACATCTGCAACTTACCTTGAGGAACAAAAATCCTAATACACAGTCAATATCCTAGGAGTGTCAGGAATGACAAGGTTAAGCCAGTGGAGCATCCACAGCCCAGCACTGGGCTTGCACAGGCTGAGTTTGAACCCCAGCTATGACTAACTGGATAGGAGTTTGTGCATACTGTTTAACTTCTTTTGTTCCAACTTCACAGATTTAAAATGGGCAGAGTGACATAGTGGTACAGTGTCACAAGACACAATTCAGCATTTGGCACATTGCACAATGCATTAATGGTCCACATGCCCGCAAGCCTTCATTAATATGGCAGAACTGTAAAAATGACCATACAAGCTAACACTGGGTAAAGTGATCTTAATAACTCCTAAGAAAATTATGACAGTACAATAACCTTTAAAACTTTCCATCAAAACATTAAAATTCTCTTCTTGTATACAGAAACAAAAATATTAAAACTAATAGTTGCTTAATATATTGCAACATAAAGCATTAGAAACAAAGAGGATTAAAATGTTTTATTTCTTTATATAAAACTTATTAAGAATAGTTTGAATGGTACTGGCCTTTTTGTATAAGTTAAATCTTTTTAAACCTTGATAAACTGTCAGCCTCTTTTGTAAGAAGGTCTCAGCTTCTAATATTTTATCCTTTGTAATTTCAATGCCACAAAGCCTCTTGCAGGCCTCCTTTCATATGAAGTATTTTTTTTATTTTAAAGAGAATAAGAAATTTTTTTAAAACATTAGAAGCAATACAGAATTTCACAACAAAATGATAGGAAATTAACAATCATTGTTATATTGTATATTGTTATCTTAAAAGTAGTTGTTCAGGTTACCAGATATAGGCATTCAAAATTTATCAAACAATTAAGCATTCACTGTTCCTCTCAATTACCCAATAGAAATGAGTAATACTGTTATCTTAGCTATCTTGTGTGCATATATATATTTTTCCTTTCCTTCTTTCTTTCTTTTCTCCTTTCCCTCATCCCAGTTCTTTCCTTTTTAGTAGTTTCTTTCCCTTTCACAATATCTATTGCACCTTTTGAATTTTATTTACTCTTTCAGTTTATTATACTAGGGAGACAATACAGTGTTTATACATATGGGGCTGATTTATTTTGCTTATGAGTATGGTCTGTAGTTGCACCCACTCATCTATAAAAGCGTATGAAGTTTTTTTTGATAGAATCATCATTTTCTCTGGGTAATCATGATGTACTTTGTCATGATCACATCCTTCACTGATGCTGATTTGATGTTACTGTGATTTTCTGTGCCTGCATGAGTGGGATCTTTCAATAGGGTCAGCACTGGGATTTTCCTAGTCAAGTCTTTCCTCTCCAGCATAATTTACATCTGCATTTTACTCTCAGTGTTGTTTTGAAACTCCGTACAAACTGTGTGAACTCAAGCTTGTTGTATCAGAAGTCAAAGAATAAAATCTTAGACAAAAGAGGAAGCTGAGAAAGTGTTTATGGAAATAGTAAGAGGAAAAATAGTTCCTAGTTTGCAGGAGGGAACTCCAAAGGTAGAATTCTGAGGCGCTGTTTTCATTTTGGTCTTACATAGATAAGCAGAGTGTGGAACTTGTTTTAAATAGGTGGCTCTGTGAGCTTAGAATAGCCAATTGGGTTTTATGCTTTGTAATGCAGAGTCAAAAGAAAATCAGTTACTCAGCTGTCCAAGTTCAAAGGAAACTGAGTTCAAAGGAACTTGGTTGCTGTTCATTTCTGTTTCTCCAGTCCAGCCCGGAGTAAGGAGGAGCTGTCAACTAATTTAGCATACGCTACCTAAAAGTTTCTTTCCTAGAGGAAGGGTTCTTACCTGCCCATTCTTATCCTAACTTTTTCTCCTTTTTCCTGTGTGTTTGTCCTATGCTTAACTAGCTGCATGCTTGAGTTAGCTCTTAATGCTATGTATGTGCTGTTATCTTTTTATGTACCTGACTCTGTCTTAGGCCCAGCCCTTGCTGGCTGACTACTTGTAAGTGAACCTAGCTGAACTATTACATTACCCATTTAATCTTTGTTGGCCAATTTTCTTTTGTGATTACACATTTTCAATATGGTGTACGAGTTTGATGTGAAGAGAAGAAACTGTGTATAAGCTGAAAATCAGGTAGGCAATGTCTGGTCATACATAGACTTTGGAAGAAATGATGAGCTTGGGCTTTGATCATGATATTCGCTTATTATTTTCCTATGAATCTGTGTGCCACAGAACTAGCAGCAGAGGCGGTACTTGAGGCACTTGCTCACAGTTATTATACCACAGCAACTGAAACTGCAGCTGTGCTTATGGGGGATGGATGCTATTTAGCTAAATCACGACAATTGGAAAGCATGCAAGGTGGACACTGTTTCAAGTTACCAAGATTATTGAATAGATATAATTAAGTGAGAAAAGGATCACTATCATATAGCTACTAAAATATTAATATATGGGTCCATTTTAAAAATAGAAACAGAACTTCTTAACATTCACAGAATATTCTTAAGTATATGTGTTTTCTGTTGTTTATGGTACCACAAACTTGTTGAATTAAAACTATATAAATTTATTATCTAATAGTTCTGGAGGTCAGAATTATTCACAGAGTCTATGAGACTAAAATTAATGCTTTATAAAGGCCATGTTTCTTCTGGGGGCTGCAGAGGAGAATCTGGTTTCTTTCCATCTAAATTTATAGCAGCCACTTGGTTCCTTTGGCTCATTGCCCTTATATCAAATAACTCTAATCTCTTCCTTCTGGCTTTGACCTTTGTTGTGGTTATATCCAGATGTACCCCAAGGGCCTCCTGTGCTCATAAGCAGGAGTTTTGGAAAATGACTGGATTATTCGGGTTTATAAAGGATGTGCTGTTAGGAAGTGGGGTTTTGTCAGAAGATGTGAGTCACTGGGGCTGTGGCCTGCAAGGGTTTATGTCGTTCCCTGACTCCTCCTTGATGCTGTCTGCTTTCTGCCTGCCATGAGGTGAACAACTCTTCTCTGCTACGCCCTTCTGTCTGCCATCTTGCCTCGGAACAGCTGACTCTGGACTGAAACATGAGCCGAAGCAAACCTTTTCTCATTTGAATTGTGGGTGTCAGGTATTATGCCTCAATGATAAATGAAGTAAGTGACGAAGGCAGCCTCTTTACTCCCTTATCATAAGACCCTTGTAAATACAGTAGCTCACCCAGATCATGCAAATTAATCTTTGCATCTGAAGATCCTCAACTTGGTCATAACAGCGAAGCCCCTTTTGCCATGTTCAGTAATGAGTTCACAGTTTCTGTGACTTGGGACAAAGGTATCTCCGAAACCCATAACTCTATCTGCCATTCCAGGCATTGTATTTGTGTCTTGAAGACCCAACCTCAAGCTGCATACTCTGATCACCTCATTTTTACCTACAGGAAAACTGAAGCTTAGAAATATAGTGACTTCCTCATGGTAAGCAAGTTACAGACATTGTTTTAATTATTTATTTAATATAAAAACCACTAATCATAAATGAGGTTATAGCCTAAAGAAACAGAAACAAATGTGGCCTTCTCTTAGGCCCTCACAGTGCTGTTAATTTCCTAGAAAGATTGGCTTCTACGTGATCACTAAGTGTGATAGTAAGTGTATTCAACATGTCAGCCATGGAAATGTGACTGCCCGTGCAGAGTTCAGGCATGACCAGGTCTCTGCCTGCAGCCCCGCTCTCATTAGCTGTAACCCAGGCCCTCGACTCAGTACATCTGGAAAGGGTTCATCTTTAATGATGCTTTTGTAGCCTTTCTCTACCCCAATAGATCTACACTGTACTAGTTGTCTGAAATTAAGCAATGTAGAATTTCGTAAAGCTAAGTAAGGTATGCTGGATACTTGACTGTGAAGTAATTGTCTATAGATTCAAAATAGAAACATACAAAACAAACCAGAAAAATAAAAATAGAGAAAAAGAAAGTGAAAATAAACTACAAGCGTCTATAATCATTAACCTGTAGCTGGACTCCATTCAGTTTCCAGAAAACAGCTCCACTTTTTCTTACAGAGAGCAGCCAAATTTAGGTCATTAAATCTAGATAGCAGGGCCCTTAAAGAAGCAGTGTATGACTCATCCAAAACCAGCTTTTAAAGTGAAACAAAAACACAAGGCAACAGAGTCTTTATAGAGGTTAGTATATAATTCACCAAAAATAACTGCCTTTTAAACTAAATATATATATATATATACAGTCAAATCTTGTTTGGCTTCCCCAGTATAACTTGGCTGTATGCAGCTGATTATTGGTTGCTTACTCAGTACCTGTCTAAACTTGCATCTATCTTCCTGGTAAAATTCCAGCTTTGTACAATTGTTCTTGCTCCTCTGTGGTGTCCACGTGCCTGCAAAGGTTGTCTCCATCTGTGATCATGGAAGATTTCTCTTTGTTGGTCTGATACGATGATTCTCAAAGTCTGGTTTAGGGACCACTGGTAACCTGGGATATTTCTGGAGAGTGCACTTGGTGAAAACTCCTTTCCTGATAGAAGTTATTTGTCTTCTTTGCTCACATTCTCACATAAAGTGGAGTTTTTCAGAGGCTACCTTCACTTTCTCCTGTAATTGCTAGGGCAACCAATGAACTGTGTGCTGGGAGATCTTATTTTAAAACTTTCTCAGTTTTAATTCTAAAGAGTAAATGTACACACGGATATCTAAAGTCTCTTTATAATTATTAACATTGGAAAGAGATCTTGAGACCAAAACATTTGACAACGTGTAAGTCAAATGTCTATGGCCCTGTTCCCATGCCAGTACTTGGATTAGGTATTAGACAATTAGAAGAAGTCTGAAAGGTGCCTGAGACTAGGGCAGGATTTTCCACCTTTTCATTCCAAGGCAGGATTTTCCACCTTTTAATACAGACACAGGACGAGAACACTTTTTCTTTTTTCTTCTAGGCATTGCTGCTCCTGGATATGATCCTTTATTTGCATGATCCCGTTCCAGCAGCCTGAGAAGAGACATGGCATCTCGGTTTTTTTGTGTGTGTTCAGTGTTCTCTAAGCTGCTGGCATCTTGCTATATGAGAAAATTAATTTCTGTATTGTCTAGATCCTGTCTAGGTCTTGTTACAGCAAGATTTTCCATTACATGTTGTGGAAACCACTCTAACGATAAAATTTACATTATGCTAACGCTGCAAGTAAAACAGCAATAACATCTACTCACTAGAGGTGCCTAGTGTGACTTTTCCTTTTCTTGTTGTTTTTAATTCCACAACTTGTAATTCCACACCAGAGTAGTATATTTCTGTAGATTATTTGAAGCTCTGCTTAAAGATTCTGTGTTGGGTATAATGTACACTAGTTTTGTTCATTCTTTAAAACAGTAAAAAATATAGGAATAAGCATGAGAGTCACTTGGTGCTGACCCACAACACATAAATAATGAGCACACTAGGAGAAGTACTTCTGTTTCTTTTTATCCCAAAAGAATGTATTTCTATTTTCATTTACAGATCCCAGTCTTAAAGAAAGAAAAGTGATTTTCATATGGAAAATATACAGAATTGATCTTTGGAGTATGTTACTTAGAACTTAAGCATTTATATATGTTGTCAAAATTCACCAATTCAACAGTCCCCGTGCTATATCCACAGAAATTCCTTTACAGGTTACCAAAATGCAATTAAAATCTGAAAGGCTTAGCCATTGTTTTTAAGTTGAAATAATAAGTTCTCAAATGGTAGAATTTTTATTTAGTAAATTAACTTTTTCTTTTTTATCTGGCTTCTTGTATTATATCATTTTATATCTATCTATCCTTCTATCTATATGAATTTATTTTTATTTAAAGAATAGTTGTACAAGACCTCTATTACCACACTCTATACACATTCAGCCATCCAAAAATATTTATTTAGAAACTTCTATAAAGTTATGATCTTGTTAAAATGTAGGCAGTTGCTTATAAGCAAATTAGGGACCTTTTTTCATGAAATTTATCATCTACAGGGTGGTGTTCTCTATCAGGGACAAAAGAGCTAAGAGTGGAAACTGTAGGACTTCTCTATTAAAATACCCTTGCTCAATATCACTGACCAGAAGGTACCCAAAAGAAAAAGAAATCTTTGTAGCCAAGCACAGCGGTACACAGTTGTAATCCCAGTCCTCTAGGTTGCTGGGGCAGAAAGATTGTATATTCCAATCCAGCATGGGCACCTTAGCAATTTACTGAGAACTTGTTTCAAAAGAAAGAATAATTCCCTGTACAGCAAAAAGAAACAAACAAGCAAATCTTTGTCAGACTCATTTATTCCTCCCAATGAGCCATGACCCATATTCTCTGAGAGTTAATGTGTATAAATAGCCTTATCTAAAATTGTAAGACCTGAGTAAATGATCTTGCAATTTCCAGCTTTAAAGTTCAACTTTATTATTTGTAATTTTGGGTTTTGTGAAAAAAATTCACAACAAAATGATAAGAGAATAACACACTGTGTACTATTATCTTCAAAGTAGTTACCCAGAGTATAAGACATAAACAAGAAAGATTCTGTCTTGCAATGAAACAGATAACAGAGCATTACTTTCTTTTCAATTAACTAAGAGAAACTAGTAGTATAAATGAAACAAGCATATATATATATTAAGACTTTTGAAATGACACATTAAATAATTTGGGGACTTATTTGAACATCTTTCCACTTCCTATTTATCTAAGATATATATACATATCTATATCTATCTATCTATCTATATATATATATATATATATATACAATCTTTCTTTAAATGCAATCATTCTCCTGTGCTTCTTTAAGTACAATCATTCAGGTGTTCCTGTAAGATCAGCAGAAACCAGGCAACTGAGGAAAGGCATTATTGACATGTTTACATTTACTGCCTAGACTCTTTTCCCAGTTCCTCAAATCCTTAGAAAAACTCTGTCACATAGGTGGTGAGATTTCTTTTACAGAAACTCCTGGATCTCTGCTTGACTGTGTGCTAAGATTCTAAATAATTTCTTGCCTTTTCTTATTCTGATCTCAGTAGCTTCCTTTAGCAGAAAGCAGAACCCTTCCATACACTGCCTCACACTGCAAAGTTTATAGAATGCAGTTAGAAGGAAGTCAGCTGGGCTCAATGTTAAGAATTAGAGGGAGAGGTGAGAAGATGTGCTCCTGGCGTGCTCCTTAGACAGGTGCCCATTGACTTCCAGCCTGACGTCCGAAAGGAATGAACTCACACGGGGACACTGGCATGGGATGCAGAGCTCCTGGGCAGCACAGGAGGAGCCTGGCATAGGCCCTGACTTGCAAAGTGTGGACTCAGTATGAAGACAATAGGCACTCTGACATGAAGCGAGCAAACCAGTGTGGCTACTCAGAATCCCTATAGGCAGTTCATTTAGCTTTAGGTCACAAGACACTGAGAACAATACAGAGAATTATCGCATGTGCCCTCCTGCTATGGTTGTAAGAAATATTAATGGAATTCTAATCAAAATTAAGCCCGCTTCTACAAAGAGTTTTCTGTAAAACATACATTTAGTGTGAATGTAAAAGCAAAGAAACTGTATTTCTAAATTGTCAGAATATAAAAAAATTGAGATAACCTTTAAATACACTGCTAATTAGGTTGCACTACTGCAGATACTAGGAAATATTTACTTTTCTGCTCATTAATTCCCTTGCTAAAGTTAACTGAGCACTTACTCTGTGTCTTGGGTGCTGTACTCTAGTAGATGGCATTAAGACCTGTACAGGACAGGCTTCATGCCAGCAAGAATACGGAGAGGAACTTTACTGTAACACAAAGTCATCATAACCTTAGGAAGCAAAATGCCTTGTGACTATGAAAAATTTCACTCTACTTATCTTACTTATCACTCTAAAAACTTTTTTTCCTTTTATGTAACACAGAGTTATTTGTAGTAGTCTTCTTTGTGTTGTACTTTCTCCCTCTATGTCTGATGCTGGCTTTGCTTAGTGTCTAGAACATTCTAACCACATCCTATTCATCACTGAAGCATTCATTTAAATATATTTGTTTGAAGTAACCATTCTTAAACTGGTTTTTCTCACAATGTGGCCCATGAATGATCAGTCATAATTGTCTAAAACTATGCTTTTAAAATGAATGCTATGTGCACCAGACCAACCAACTGAGATTCTGAAATATGCATTTTAATGCGTTCCTCTAGAAGTGCTTTGGCATTCTCAATGTTGTCACCGAGTCAAGGGTCGGTGTTAATGGAAGATCTGAGGAACGTGTGTGAGTAAAGAAAAAATTTATTTGTGTAAGTAAACAAAAAAATTGTCATGAACTTAAATTTGACTTATAGAATTACTGGACTTCATGTTTCTTGATTTTGCCTAACTACATAGTAGGGCTGATTATCTTACTCTGTTTCATTTCACAGTGATGTGATATTTGCATAGGATACTGCATAAGGAAGCATATCACAAATTTATTCAAACAAATGTATTTAAATGAATGCTTCACGAGTTCCTTCTGCACTCCCACACAGCCAGGATGACATCCTCCTGCTGTGACATTTACTACCTGAAATCCTTGCTGATTTGTTAGAATCACCCTCCACAATGCCTGAGAGCTGACAGCGATGGCGAATGTCTCAGTGCTAGCCATTGTAAGTCCACCATTGGGTCTTCTCTAGGTGTTCAATAAATAAATGTATGTTTTGGCAAAGAAGAAAAGTTACCTGAGTAGCGAAGAGAAAGGAAGGTCTTCTTGGCAGGGAGAATCATGTGTGTCTATTCAGAGACACCCAAGCAGCTCAGATTGTACAGAGTGTAGAGGGACCTAAGTGATTGGCTAGCTTGAGAGGTCATAAGTAGTCTAAGACAGTAACCTTTACTTTTAGCCAATCAATAATCAATACTTCCAGACAGGTAATGAGCATGAGCTCATGTAAAGAAAACAGAAAGGGCCAGGTGCAATACATCTAGGTTTGAGGCTTCAATTTGTCATGAACTTAAATTTGATTTATAGAATTACTGGACCTTATGTTTCTTGATTTTGCCTAACTAGATAGTGGGGATTATTATCTTACTCTGTTTCATTTCACAGTGATGTGATATTTGCACAGGATACTGCATAAGGAAGCATATCACAAAAGTCATACATACATGAAGCAAGTACTCTGTGTGTGTTTGTGTGTGTGTGTACTCACATGCATGTTTAATTCAATCACTTTCAAAGTTTAAAGATTTAGTGAGAGACTTTGGACACTTCTGTTACTTAAAATTTCAAACACTTTGCCCCTTCCCTTAAAGCCACAATGAGCTCTAAAGACAAAACTTTACCCCCACACATTCCTCAGATCTTCCATTAACATTGACACCCCTCATTTACACTTTGTTTTGGTGCAATGTTTTATTCTTATAAGCCTGGGTGGTGTGTTTGCATGGCTTGTTTGTGACAGGATTTAAATGCCATAAATGACTTTTGACATATAACAAATGTCATTTTACAACCTAGAAAAGTGTCCATTTGTTAACAAATTGCTAATCCCATTTTT